ACCTTAAAAACCCTAGACCCTAAACCGAAAAGACCCTAAACCTTAAAACCCTAAGCCTTAAAAACCCCTAAGCCTTAAAGCTGAAGGCCGTAAACCTTGAACACCCTGAATCTTAAAAAACCCAGACCCTAATCCTTCAAACTTAACACATCTTAAAGCCCTAAACTTTGAAAAACCTAAACCTTGAACCACGCTTGTCCCTAAAACCTAAAGCCCTAAACCCTCAAACCCTAAACCCTAAACCCTAAACCCTAAACCATAAAACCCTAAACCCTAAATCCTGAACCCTAAACCTTAGACTCTGCCACAGATCTTTCTGAGGCTTGCCAAGGCTTCGGCGAGCGAGGCCGCCATGTCAGCTGCATCCGGTCCTAGCCTTCAAGGGTTTGGGTTTAGGGTTTAGGGTTTAGGGTTTAGGGTTTAGGGTTTAGGGTTTAGGGTTTAGGGTTCAGGGTTTAGGGTTTAGGGTTTAGCCTTCAAGGTGTCCGCGTTTACGAGTCAGGGTTTAGGATTTAGGATTTGGGGTTTAGGATTTCGGATTTAGGGGTTCAGGATTTTGGGTTCAGGGCTGTAGGGACTCTTGAAGCCGCGAAGGTGCCACTCGGGGAGTACCCAAACGGCTCCGGGTACTACAGGGGTCCAAAAAATTACCGATACTATTTTGGGGGTTCCTTCTTGGGTTCCTTCTTGTATTTATATTGTAATATCTCCCAAAACCTGAAACCCTAAACCCTATAAGCCCTAAACCGTTATCCCCCAAAAACCCTGTTCAAATTATTAAGGCCCCTATAGTACACCACAGCAGCTGCGTGGACATCCTGGGTTCCTTTAAGCCGAGGGCAGCTGCATGAGAGCTGATGATAATGATGGGTTGAGGCTTAAGGGGTTTAGGGTTTAGGGTTTGGGAGCATGTTTATTGTAGTGCACAGGGACATTGCCATCATCACCATTGTTAGTTTTTGTTGATATGATTTGTATTAGTATTGTTGTTGTTTTTGCTGATGTTGTTCTGATTCTCATTACTATGAATATGGTCACACCTTGTTCATTTATTCACATCCGCGTACATTTGATCATTTTCATCATCCATGAATAACGTCAATATTATTGTGAATCATGGGTATTCTGAACATTATTCTCATTCTTATCATCATTCTATTCCAGAAAGCTCGAAACAAGTCCCCGAAACCCTGCACCCGAAACCCTTCAAAAAGGCCCTAGACATGATGGTCTCTCTTCGGGACGAAGCAAAAGGCGCGAAGTTCAGGGCTCTGCGGTTTAGGGTTTAGGGCCTAGGGTGAGGGGCTAATTTTTTCTTCAGGACAGGTTTCAGGATTCTAGCAAAAAGGCTCGACGTTTGGGGTTTAGAGTGAGGAGTTTGTGATTCTTTAGGCCGATTTGAGGCTTTTGTGCTATCGGTTTGAGGGGCCGTTTCGGGTTTCGGGGTTCAAGGGCTTAGGATTTCATATTTAGTGCCCTTAGTGCACTTCAGGCATTGGCCTCATTTTTACGGGCGCTTCCAAGCGCTTAGCCAGTTTTCGGCTTGTGTTTTTTCGCAGGCCAAGAAGTTTCTCAGCCATCTCTAACCCTGAACCCCTAAACCCTGAACCCCAAAGACCCTAAAACCCTAAAACCCTAAACCCCTAAACCCCCAACCTCTAAACCCCTGAACCCTAAAACCCTAAACCCTAAAACTCGAAACTCCTAAACCCCTAAAGCCTAAACCCTAAACCCTTGGTCTCTGCATGTGCGCCTGCGTTCGTATGAATAGTGTCAGAGAGCGTCTGCGAATCGGCAGTGCCATCTCAACTTGCAAACCCCATATTATAAACTTAAACCTTATAGACCCTGTATATATATATATATAACATATATATATATAACATCTATATATATATATATATATAGAGAGAGAGAGAGATGCAAGCAGCTCTAATCACCGAGAACTTTGGAGCGCTCCCGCCTTGCTGCCAGGGCAGCTGATGCAACTCCCCGAGCAGCCGAAGAGCGGCAGTCGGGGTCCCGGACTCTTCTTAGGGACATACGGCTGATGGACAAAATCCTGCATGACCTGAAATACCTAAACTATGGGATTTATGGTATTATATACATATATATATATACTATATTTGGGTCATGCAGGATTTTGTCCATCAACCGTAGGGCTACTAGTGGGTCTTGTCTTCATGGTACTTTGAGGGTCCGGTCAAAAGAGTTTCCAGGCAGGTAAAATAATGCCTTCTCCTTTTGTTTCCAAGGGCTTTGGAGGCTTCTTGATGAAAGGGGCTTTATGGGGCTTTTGACAGAGTTTAATTGAAGTAGTAGCAGGGTTCGGGGGTGTAGTACGGTAGATGAATATGGAGACTACAACAAGGGGACAGTACTCAATGGGACAGTTCTCACTTGGGCGATAATTGACAGGCTAGCTTTCCGGTTCTTGCTGTGTATCGGGATAAGGGCATTCAGCAAGAAACAATACTAACAAAATCCCATACCCGAAACTTAAATGAAGCCTACACCGACACCTAAGCCCCAAGAATCACATTTCTCCGTCGTGCTTCCGTGATCTGAAGGTTCTTTGGCGAATGTTAGCAGCTTTACAGCGGATGCTGCGGGGTCCCTGGGTGGCTCAGACTCGAAAAGGGCCGAGTAGCCCTTGCCACGCTCATAACATTATGTATTAAAGGCTGCTTTTGCTACATCGTAAAGGTAAGGACTGTATATTATACATATATGTATATGTACTATATGAAAAAATATGTATATATACGTGTTATGAACTGCCGCGGCTTGTTACAACCTCGTGCATGAGTTCGCCGGAACTGTGGACATCCGGAGCTGACCCAAAGAGTAAAAGCGGTAGCAATGGCAGCTGTAGTATAGCTATGCGAAACCAATCTTATATGTTATAATACAGCAATAGCAGCTGTAATAGAGTGATACTACACAAAGTTCTGACCTTACTTTGCTGGCAGCATGCCTCCTACTACTACTACTACTCCTCCTACTCCTACTACTACTACTACTACTACTACTACTACTACTGTTACTGCTACTCCTACTACTACTACTACTACTACTACTACTACTGCCAAGAGCACGGGCAGAGGGTTTAGAGTTCAAAGCGAAGAGCTCACGTGACAGTTGGTGACAGAAGCCTTAGGGTTCTACATAATGTAGGGGCCTTAATAATAATTGGAATAGGGTTTTGGGGGTTCCCTATTATGCTTATATACTATAACATACCCTAAACCGTGTTCCAATTATTAAGGCCCCTATATTATCATGTTTGTGGGTGCTAACACAAGCCGAAGTCGCCACGTGCCAGTGTCAGACAGCGCCAAAGCAGAAGTACGCCATGATCATTGAGGGAGGGATGGATGTTTTAGACATGTTTGGGTGCTGAGAGAGCGTAAGTGAAATCACATTATCGGGTCCCTTGCGGAACCCGGGATCCCATGTCTGTCTGACCTCCACCGAATTCTCCGACCGAGGCAGATATTCTGGACAAGTTCGTCGCCCTACAATCGCAGCAGGCAGTGTGGGGTGACGAAACACAGAAGCTTGAAGAATGACCAATTCGATTGCTCAGGGCTCCGCATTATTACTATACTTGTTTCTGATGCAGACGGTGATCCGGCCACTGTAGGTGCATTCGACCACCATACTGTCTTCAATGCTCCTGCCCGAAACGCCAGCAAGAAGTTTGCCATGCCTTTGGGGTCGGAAGCTCGACTCCAAATAGGCACATGCTACGATCTTCTGAGATTCCACAGGCGTTGACCCAAAAAATGCACAGCCAGGAAGCTACCAACCCGAGAAACCCCAACTAGTCCCCTGCATATAAGTATAAACTGATTGATTATCGTTCGTTCTAAATTCAAATTGAGACTTCCATGTAACACTCCCAAATTCTGTACGCCCACTCCCCCTAAACCCTACCCTAAGGCTCATGGACCCCCCATAGTGAAAGCCCCAACCTCAGTCCGTAAAGGCTAAACCTTCCCCTAGAAAGTCCATAGCAGCAATATGAGCCTTAGGGAGGACCCTAAGCCCCAAACCCTAAACCCTAAACCCGTAAAGCCCTAAAACCCTAAACCCTAAAGCCCATAACAGCAATACGAGCCTTAGGGAAGACCCTAAACCCCAAACCTTAAACCCCACAGTCGTT